ACACACACACACACACACACACACACACACACACACACACTGCAGCAGTGCACACAAGCACACGCACTGCACACACGCACGCACGCAAGCACACACACGACGCAGCGCGCATAAAGATCGGGGAAAACAAATATTAATTGTCCCCGGAACCAGGGTCACTCCTGAGTGCCCGCCTCCCTAACCCTAATGACGTCACATCGAGGGCCGCAGGGCGCGCAGTATACTCCTCTCACCCAATTACAGCATCGCTCATCCTGCACCCCTATCATCAACACGATCAATACATAGTCCCAGGAGAATCCCACCACCGTGGTTGCTTTCATGCTGGGCGCGTCACAGTGTCGTATATACGTTCACGCCTCTATAGCTAATTACTGGTATCGCTTCTTCTATTCTATTCTATGCTATTCTAGAGCATGCGTCCGCAGAGGTCTAGCTAGCATTGCTGTCAGTAGTCTCGCTTCCAAGGCCCCGTTGTCAGAAACAAAATTGCGCATTGGGTAGCGGGCCAGCGCACTTTTGTTTTGACAAATTTTTTTTCTGACAACGGGACCCGGATCGTTAGATTCTTATTCATATACATAACATACGTCAAACGTCTAGCTCCAGTTAGAATCTTTCCCATGCCGTTAGGTACTTATATTGCATATCAGCAGAAGTATATATGGATAGCAGAAGTGAATAAAAACAGGCTATAGATTTGTGTTTATTCACTCCTGATGGATAGCGATCTCGATTCATTTTCTCCTTATATACACCACACGTCCACACGTCCACATGTCCATACAGCTAGCAACGATGTTTCTCACAACCCGTAAGATTCTTATCGCATATATATATATATATATAGGCGGCACTGCTTACAACAGCGGCATATAGCGACCAAAGAAAGCTCTTCAATAGCAACCCATTTTATCCAATCACGACAAAAAAATGATCGTATCAAGACCAAAATGATTTAAATCATGAAAGAGATTCACATTCTCTATCTTGCATCGGTCGGATGGTAGTCAGATACACACACACACACACACACACACACACACACACACACACACACACACACACACACACACACACACACACACACACACACACACGCCGGGGCACGCACGCTCGCGGGGCGCATGTATATATGACGATGTGCAGCAGCTGTTGCTACGCTGTGTCCCGCAGCAGCAGCAGCAAGCAGCAGCGGTAACACGGCAAGCTATCGAGTCTTGTTTCTCCTCCCGACCACCGCCTCGCGCCCTGTAGTAACAAGCAAACATATCGGCAACAGCTCGTTCCTCCCCGCACGCAGGAGGAGTACGTAACGCTATGCCACTTACACTTACAGCGGGATACTGTTTAGCTGAGTAATATACACGCGCACGCATGGAAATATCTGCCGGCAACACGCTTTCGTGCAATGTTACGGGCGTTCTAGGCGGATTGCGGTTTACTGAGTATATATCCCCGCTCCGGTCGCACATCGCTGTGACTGTGGCACGTTCGTGTGTTGTTCCGTGGTGGGGGAGGCTGTATAGCGGGGTAGTAAATTCTAGTACTCGCTTAGCTACAATGAAATCGATGCATTGAATGGATGAGAAATCGGGAAATCGAACGAGTGGGGGGAATGTCGGCGCGATGCAATCGTAGCGATCGTCGAGTATGGCAATATAGATGGTGATTGATCACAGGTCATCGATTCATATTATCGATCACTTATTGATTCCTATTATATCGACCACTTATAGGTCCCGATTATCGCTTACTTATCGGTTTCTATTATCGGCCACTTATTGATCCCGATTATCGATCGTTTATTGATTCCGATCATATATGACTTATTGATTGTGATAAACGATCACTTACTGATTCTCGATTTGATTGATTTGCGATTGAATCGTGCGTTTTTGCAACTTGGCTCTTTTATCATGTGTACAGTAGCCGCGTTCACACGTAGCAAGAAATCCGGTATTTAGCGTTCACACGAGGCAAAATACGAGGCCCAAGAAATACGGTATCTAAACAGATCCGGTATTTCATGTAAATACGAGGCTTCCCAGACCCCGAATAATTTGCCGTGCTTGAGAAATACCGGATTTCTTGGACCGCGCATTTCCTCGTGTGAACGCTAAATACCGGATTTCTTGGACCGCGCATTTCCTCGTGTGAACGCTAAATACCGGATTTCTGGAGCCGCGTATTTTATAGACTAGTCCGCGCTCGACAGTTCCAGTGTAACGCGAGTAAAACTGTCGAGCGCGGACCAGTCTACGTATTTTATCGGCAGTTGGTGCGCATTGCATTGTTTATTTTGCATTGTTTGCTTGATTGTTTAAAGCAGCTCGCAGCTCGCAAATACCGTATTTCTGGAGCCGCGAATCAGCGTGTGAGCGCTCGCCCGCGTATTTGTCTCAGATACGGTATTTCGCAAATCTGGTATTTCAGAAATACGAGGTCTCGTGTGAACGAGGCTATTATCTACTCTTGATATTACTCATTACCCGTTACCGCGGTCGCCGCTGTTTAGGTATTACATGGTAGGGGAGCCCGAACAGACGGAGAAGGGCTGGACTGCCACCATCGAACGCCTGCACACGCCTCCTATGTTCGGAGACGAGACGACGAAACTGAAAGTGGAAGTAGAGATGCAGACTAAATCACGCCTGCGGATAAAGGTAAAAAGTTAAACGCCGCCCCTATATAATCTATATATTTAGACGCCTCTCAACGCCATCTAGTTCGTTACGTACGTGTTTACTAATGCACAGATTGATGACCTATCGAGTCTGTTATCTCCATGCGCATGTGTGCAGTAATGTCGGGTGCTTTCATGAATAGGGTAGGGTCTCTATTGAATAGTCTTTCATGAATAGTCTCTGTTCGTGTAGTCCGGCTGATGTCGGGTGTGGTTAGGTTGGGCGTATGATTCTTCACGTAGGTAAAGCAAACATCAATGACTCCTTACACCCAATAGGCGTAGATGGCAATAGATTATCAGCTACGACAATGCCTTGCACAAGCGCCGTGTGAACGATAGAAATTCGGCCATGTTTAAAACAACGAAAAAGAAACAAACGTGAGCGTGTGGAGAATTTAATAATGTTTTTATTGAGATTGAAGCTCCGGCTGGATAAGGCGGGCATGACAAAAATAAATCACAGGCGAGGCATGAAACCTCACTGCAATCGTGTAAAAACAAAGTCGTTACTTTGAACAACTTGAACTAACTGTGGAAATCCACGATGCGAGTCAAATGTACATCGCCACCGTAGAACAAATACTACTAGAATTCCAACGAATTCCAATTGCATTTTCTAATTTGAGTAGGATTCCATTAATAAATGTCCTTGATTGTAACGGAGACCCGGACCTGGCGAGTAGGACCCGTCAATGCGCAAGGTCCTTTAGCCGTTCAGGAATCAATTGCCATATGTGAGCCCATACACACGGCCCCTTTGTATTTGACGGCTGGAGCAAAAGTGGGCGATTGTTCGATAAACGCATTTTGTTGTAAAATGTTACACATTTATCGGTTAAAGAGCTCTAGAGAGAAAAGGTTCAATATGAGTTTATATTATATAGACCTGCAGTGTGAACTTCTGGCTGCTATTACCTCTATAAACAGCTCACGTGAACTACGGGTAATACTTGGCGATAATTATTTATTTGAATGAGGCGTGCGTTCGCGTGTGCGTGTGTTTCTGTATGTGTACGTGCGTGCGTTGTGTGGGTGCGCGCGCGCGCGTGTGTGTGTAATATGACTGCATACATGAAAATGCTGACTGTCACTCGATGGCCTTTTAAAATTCACTTGTATACCGATTATCTAGAACGTAATATGTAAAACGTAAAAAATAACGTAATCTTGTTCAACGTAAAGTCAATTTTAATTATAGATAGAGCTGCTTGTGATGATGATAACTTATAACTTTGCGTCCTAATTTTAGTAATCTATTTCCTATCCTAAGCTAATCAGTTCTCGCAGGCGACAAGGGAGATATTGAACGAAGAACCGGCGGAAGAAGAAGAAATACACATATACTATATATTAAAATCTTTGCAATTAAAAAAGCCTAATTTAACAAATTTCTAGCGCGCTCTCTCTCTCTCTCTCTCTCTCTCTCTCTCTGTGTGCGAGGCGAGTGTACTTGCGTACTATCGTGCGTGGGTACGTACGTATGTATATTCGTTAGTATATGCGAGTAATGCGAATAAGTGTGTGAGGGCAGTGTGCCTACACCTTTATTTGTTGATTCAGCCGGCTGATAAATTCCCTACTATCCAAAATAAATTAAAACAGAAAATACGCATTTTATAATTTCCCTTGATGTTGAATATACCAGACTAGCTTTCTATTGATGTAATTATGGGAAAGGAAACACGCAAGAGAGTGCATATACAGTATGAATTCGTCATGAAATATGCATTGCGCGTGCAAATACCAGCATGCATGTACAAAAGACGCGCCTTCCACACCCGCCCCAAACAATATTACAAACACTTGATACACCTCACACGAGTTCCTTACCGCTACAAACTGACACGCTGAAACTGACAAGTTCAAACAAACCAAGTAGCACATAAACAGAGTGTTACTTGTAACGAAAGCGTACTAGAGCAATTAATGCACTTACGCAAGCACGCGCGTATTCAGCTCACACGCACACATGCACGTGAGCAAGCACTTAAGTAGGCACACGCACGCACGCACGCACACACGCGCGCAGACGCACGCACGCACACGCACGTACGCACGCACATCACGCACACACATGCAAGCGCGCCTCCTCTTCATTACTGCGTCTCGCGTTATTTCACTTCGTCTTCGGTATTAATGCAAAACTGTAAACATTTCAAAACAGTGAAAAGCCGCTTCGCTGCACAAGTCTTAGCACTTTACCTATTCACCTTCACTCACAATACACGTCAATCTTGATCGGAAGTAAATTCCATCAAACGCGAAACTCCATCAAAAACGCGAAATTCCATCAAACGCGAAATTACATTGCACTGTCAAATATTTGCACATCCGTTTCAACTTAATGCCGCAGGTCTTTACGCAATCATGTGCTTGAGCCACGACTTTAAGTTTTTGCGCGAAATTTTTCTTTCCGGTGATAAAAAAAATCCGCGCTCACATATTCTTTGCAGCTGACGGACGCTGAAAACCACCGCTACGAGGCGCCACTGCCAATGGTTCCAGTTGAGGAGGATTTCGACGCGTTAGATGTCAACTCAACGAGCGAGGCCGCCTACAATGTCACGTTCCAAAGCACGCCTTTTAGCTTGAAGGTGACGAGAAAGGAAACGGGCACTGTCATGTACGTATTCGTGCGCGGGCGTTAGAAATGACGTGCTAACATGAGCCGAACCGTAGAAGTTTACGGACTAGTTAGGCGTGTCTCTATACATTTCCATGAGGGCGAACAAAGACTGACTCCATAAGTCGTCCAGAATAAACGTTCCATCTGTGTGCTCAGTCACGGTAACGCGTGGAGTCAGTCTAGAACACACGATTGCTAATTACGATTTTTTGGATCACTTCATATGTTTATTTGTTTTTCCCGTTATAAATTTGCACTATTTCAAGTTTCGTTACGCCTAGCGAGTTTTTGCTATAATCGCTATCATCCAACATCAACAATTCTATATGTATACGTTCCTGGCAAACCCTTTTTTTCGGCTTCTTTTATTTATTTTTCTTCTACTCCTTACTCTTCTTTTTCCTCTTACTCTTGCTCTTTAACTTGGCGGCTTCTCTCAGGAGGATGTTTGCAAGCACCTGCGTCAATATCTAAAAAATGAAATGTCTCAGACCTGATATGAGCCAATTGAAATTCCGAGAATCAAGATTATTTAGATCTACAACTACTACGTAGCACAGTGTGAACATTTGCTGTCAGTGTCTGATGTCTGAACAATATTCAGTGTCAGCTTTCTGCGTCTGCGTATGTAAATGTCAGTGATCTATTGATTACTCAACCAAGAGGGTCAGCATATGGCTGAGATTAAGGTCAGGGGTTGGGTTATGGTTGAATTTAAGGGTAATATCGCATTAGGGCCGAGGTTACAGCCACTGGATGGGTTCGAAGAAGTTGTTAAGAGTTAGGGTTAGGGAAAATAACAGTAAAACAGTAAACAGCCATAACCAGAACCTTAATCGCAACTATAAACTCGCATCTTACCCTACCTTACCTTACATTACATTAGCATACCCTTACCGTTACTATTACACTTATCCTTACCATTATATCTACCATTAATCTTACTCGCATCCTTACCATTACTCTTACACTCTTACCTCTACCCTTGCCTTACCCTAACTCTAACATTAACACTAACCTTTCCCCATACACCCTAACCTTAACCTTACAGCCTACACACTGCTCTCTAGCCCTATAACCTTGCACCCTACACCCTGCTCCCTAACTCCAACCCTAGCCACCTTTATCCTACCTCAACACTAACCCTACGTTGTGAGTATTCTACGGTTCACTCCGTACGGCCTCTACCGAATGCTAACGACCTTAACCCTTTCTCCCTTCCCGCGCTAGATTCGACACGTCGGCGGGAGCGCTCGTCTTCTCCGACTACTTCCTGCAGCTGACGACGTCGCTGCCGTCGGAGAACGTGTACGGCGTCGGCGAGCACGTGCGCGGTCGCTACCGACACGCCGCCGCCTGGAAGACATGGACGCTGTTCAGTCAGACGTCGCAGCATGCCCGCGTAAGCTGAGCACGTTAGTCTTTCTATGTACATGCCCACACATACATACACGCGCGCGCGCACACCACATACATACACACGCGCGCCCACCACATACATACACGCGCACGCACGCACAGACACACGCGCACGAACACGCATACACGCACGTAGGCACACACACGACGCACCGCGCATGAAGATAGGAGAAACAAATATTATTTGACTCCGGCGCCAGGGTCACTCCTGAGTGGGGGGATCCTCACATCTATACCGTGAATATATACATTACTCGAATTAGACATCAGTATATGCCATCCATTCCCACCTTAGAACATGCAATATATACACATACACACATTACTACTATACCGTATATAAACCTTACTATGTGCCGTCTATGTACACACATTACTACTATGCCGTATATAAACCTTACTATGTATACCGTCTACATACACACATGACTAATATACCGTATATAAACCTTACTATATGCCGTCTATGTACACAGTGAGAGTATATATGTGTGGCGGTAAAACGAGGAAATGAAACAAACGCTTTCAAATAACTTCGTGTTGCTTCGTGAGTGTTTAACGCACGCTCGACTTGCGCGTGTCCGCTTGCAGGAGGGAGCGAATCTAGCCGGCGTACACCCGGTCTACATGTGCATAGAGGAAGGGGGATACACACACGGAGTCTTCTTACATAACAGCAACGCCATGGGTGAGTCTATACATGTGAGGGTGGTGGGGGCGTGTGTGTTTTCGTGTGCGTGTGCATGTGTGCGCGTGTGTGTGTGTGTGAGTGTGTGTCACTGTGTGTGTGTGGCATGTTAGTGTTGTGATCTGCGCGCGCGCGCTCGGATGTGTGCGTCGTGTGCGCGTGAGTGTGCGTGTGCGTGTGTGCATGAGTGTCGTGCGGGCAGTGTGTGTGTGACTTTTGTGATGTGTGTGATGTGTGCGTGGTGTGTGTCGTGTGCGCGTGAGTCGTGCTGTGTGCGCGTTGAGTGCTGCGTGTGCGTGTGCGTGTGTGCATGGAAGTGTTGGTGTGTGTGTTGTGTGCGCGTCCGCGCGCGTACGTATGTGCGTACATGCAACTGTGTGTGGTGTGTGCTGTGTGTGTGTGTGTGTGTGGTGTGCTCGTCGTTGTGTGTGTGGTTGTGTGTGTGTCGTGCGTGCTACGTGATACGTGTGTTCGTAGCATGCACCGGCGTGTGTTACACACGCGGTGCGGGCGAGCGTGCATCTGCATGCGGGCGTGACGTGAGAAACCGGCGAGAGAGATAGAGCGGAAACCAGGAAATAACAATTTTCGGGTCGGGCCGGAGCCCATTTTTCCGGGTTGACGGGCGTGGGACTTTTCTTCTTTCTGCGGAGAAGGGGGAGCGCTGATCTAGGGGAAGGCAATCATCCCCAAGGAGACGGAATTCAACCGCCTCTCTCTCTCTACTTCTCTCTCTCTTCTCTCTCTTTCTCTCTCTCATCTCCGGCTTTCTAGCTTAGCCGCGCAGCTTGTCTCTCGTCTCTCTCTCTTCTTGTCTCTCTCTCTCTCTGTCTCTCTCTCTCTTCTCTCTCTCTCTCTCTCTCTCTCTCTCTTCTCTCTTCTCCTCCTCTCTCTTGTCTGTCTCTTTCTCTCTCCGAGTGCATTTCACATTTGCTTTTCTACACGCGTTGTTATACAATCTTTGATTTCTTTCAACCATGTTACTGCATGTGTTTTACGTTGTTTTACATACGTGGACCGGATTTACCGCCTTCTTTAACCTATTCGTATCTCACTGCGTGCGTGCATGCCCATGTGTACGCGTGCTGCGGTGCGGGTGCCTGGTACGGTGTGCTGTGAGTGGTGCGTACGTGTAGTGCGTGCGCTGCATGGTGCGTCCGTGTGTGGCCCATGTGTGTACGCGTGCGTACGTTCCCGCCGTCACAAAGGCACCCAACCTCAGACATTGTCTTAGAAGTCTTTCCTTCCATCACCTATTATTATCTCACTGCGTGTATTTTATATGTTTGATGTATTTGACAGACGTCGTGCTACAACCTTGCCCTTCCATCACATACCGCGCACGATCGGCGGCATCTTTGACTTCTACATTTACCTCGGCCCTACACCCGAGTCGGTCTACGAGCAGCACAGCACGGCCGTAGGACGGCCCTTCATGGTGCCCTACTGGGCTCTAGGCTTCCAGCTGGGTCGCGAGGGCTACCCGAGCATCGGGGCCGTGTATAGCGTAGTGCAGAGGATGCGCAACACCAACATCCCGTATGTGAGTCATCCGGTGTGCGGCTGGCAGGCAGCTCACGGGAGATTGAGTGTAGGCTAGAGAGAGAAGAGAAAGAGAGAAGAGAGTGAGAGAGGGGGGGGGAGGGGAAGAATTCGCAATCGCAGACTCGGGAGTCTTTGTAAGATGATCGGTGCGTAGAGTGTTTGTTCCTTCTGCCGCATTCTGGCTCTCAAGAATATATGTCAGCTGGTTGTTTCGATTCTTCATAAAAACGGACTATCAAGTTACACGAACACCATATAAACATACTATTGCTTAATTATTATACTAATTATATATATATTACTATATAGTAACTATATATATATATTGTTTATTTGCTCTTAAAGTTATCTCATATCAAGTCGCTTCGTTACCCAGTGGACCGTTGTCAGAAACTGAGTTTACAGTTACTTTATAATATCAGTTTTGGCAACAAAATTCTAGTCTTAGTCTTAGAGTGTACTACTCGTATCTATTTTTTGTAGTCTCAGCCGTATGCTTATATACGCGTTACACTATTGCACTGATCCTTACCCTAGAGCTATTATCATAACTTTGGTTGTAGTAGCAGTTTTTTTTTTTCATGATAAAATTTCAGTTCTGAATAAACGAGAATGTGTAGAATTGTCATATTAACAGTGTTGAATATTTTGAAGGGTTTTCCTGGACCGCCACACACATGCGTACGCGTGTTTCTGATAACGGTGGTCACGTATAATACCGCAGGACGTGCAGCATCTTGACCTCGCGAGCACGCACAACCACAGCACGCTGACTCTAGACGAGGACTCGATGAAAGGTCTGCCGGAATTCCTCTCCGACCTTCACAGACACGGACAGCGCGGCGCGCTCGTGCTGACACCTGGCGTCGAAACCGACGATTTAACCGTGGGTTCGCCCTTCAGCAGAGGTCAGGCACGAGATGTGTTCATCAAGACTGCGGATGGAGTGAGTGACGAAGAGTGACGTGTTAATCACGTATATTGCAGATCTTGTACGCGACCGGAGATAGGATACGATGTAGATATACAGCGCTATCGCTTCCCTACATCATATCATAGGAAATGCGAATCTATCTTAGCAGTGTCAAGATAGAATATTGCAGTAGAATGTTTCATAAATAAATAAATAAATATATAAATAAATAAATAAATATATAATAACATTATCACATGTATCAGAATTAATAAATACTACATTAGCATCATCCCCGATATTACGACTTACATGTACTCCTTGCATAACATTACTCCTCGATTATTGAATTCCCGATTGCTCCTGGCCGCTACAACAACCTCGGTCCGGAGAACATGATACACACGCGTGCGTTTATCGCGTTCTCCTGGCTGTATAAAGTGTTTAGGCGCACATTAAAGATGGCGGTCGGCTTGGCGCCACGCCGAGAAAAGGCTATTACACGGGAAATGTTTGTTTTTGCAGGAGCAGCCGGGAAGGGTCGCATATCCCGATTTCGGGAAAGATTCGACGGTCGACTGGTGGTCCAGCGAATGCTCTGCTCTACACGGCAGACTCGGCTACGATGCCCTCGTACTGGTAGGTGCTAAACTCCCGAGTCTTCTACGTAGGCTGCTAACCACACGATATAATCATTATATATATATATATATATATAATATATCTATATATAGTATATATATATATTATATATAGATTTATATATAGCACAGAGAGAGGGAGGAGTGGAGAGACAGGAGGGGTGGGGGGGGCGGAGAGAAGATCATATTTCGTAATAATGTTAGATTCACGGCTAAGGTTGGTGTTTGTGCATTAGAATCATTTATAACCCTTGGACGTTCTTATTCCACTCACGCAACAATGTCAGACGTTCATGACAAGGTTCCTATTAGGCTTCAGTCACAAACGAGGCGGCGCGCTGTGAGATTGAGCCGCATCACGGAGACGGTAGCTTATGTTGTGAAGCCCGAGAAATTGGGCAACAAGCGCACACACGTGCCGCTCGTGGCAGGACACATGCAGCAAGGAGAGAATATCCTCCGCCATTGCCAACTCCGCGCAAGCTACCGGTATAGCTAGAGCGCTCTTCGCGCCGATACTGAGTCTACGCCGTTTTGAGACACAAACGCACCCGTAAGAGCGGAGAGAGAGAGAGCGCGGCGCGAGATAGAAAGAGAAAGCTAGCAAGCGAATCTGGCGAAGCTGAGAGCGAGAGAGAGAGATGAGAGATGAGAGAGAGAGAGAGACCGAGGGGGGAGATATCGCGGATGCCGCCGTGAGAAAAGAGGACAACGCAGGGGAGAGAGACGAGGGCCAGAGTGTAGGAGTCAAAGACGAGATAGAGACCGAAACCGACGGCGGCAGCGCAGCGCACCGACGGGTTGAGCGAGAGCATAGAGAATAAGAGAGGAGCGCACACCGGCCGCGGGGCGACTCGGACCGAGAACCGAGAAGCCAGGGGGAATAGGACGAGGCCGGAGTGGAGAGACGACGAGAGAGACACGAGAGGCACGAGAGAGACCCAGAGAGAGAGAGAGAGAGAGAGCAAGAGAGAGCTGAGAAAGAAATGAGAGAGGAGCGCACACTGTCCCTCGGAGAACGACGAAGAAGGGAAAGAGAGCCTCGGGATGTGAGTGACGAAGAGAGAGAGAGAGGGGAGAGAGGAGAGAGGAGAGAGCAGCAGAGACGAGAGAGGACGAGAGAGAGCGCAGACCGAGACAGCGGCAGACAGATGAGGAAGAGCCGTTACGAAACGTGTTATGACATATAGTTTTACATTTCCGTTCCTTACACGCGTGCACATCAAGGGGCTGCATGATACCAGTTCAGGGATACATCGGACAACATCCACCGCGAGGATTCGAGCGTAAAATGCATCGCAGGAATCCTACAGACACATCGACGAGCGCTGTGCCCTGGGTGGGAGTGGGGCGACTCCATTACACTACCGCGCGAAGAGTGACCAGGACAGCTCGGGCTACTCCTTATCTTTCGCCTGGCGACGTGGCATATGCTGCTTTGGCGTGCGTGGCGTGCACGTGACACGTGATACCGCGAACGCTAGATTCTGCTCAGCCCAGCAGCGAACAACAACAACAGATCGAAGCGTCACTCACGTCCGGCGGACGACGCTGCTTTGTTTTACGAGCCTGCCATTTTTTCTTTTCTCTCGCCTCCTCTCTCTGTTCTCTCTCTCGTCTCTCTCCTCTTCTCTCTCTCTTGCTCCTCTCTATATGTATAGTATAGTATATATATATTATATATATCGCACCGCGACGGGCCGTCTCTAATGCTCAAATCTTTCCCGAATCTCCACGTCGAAAAGGTATTTGTGTCTGCCACGCCGCTGGCCGGAAATAGCCAGAGCGAGCGTTGCCTAGCGAAGGTTTGCGTGTCACCGACAGACACGCACATTGTCGCGGTGCAGATGTGCGAAAGTGTAAGTTCGATCGCGGACGCATTGTGAGAAACTGATGAAGCTGATATATCAACCCACTTAAAGTGTAATGTGTACACATTCCTCCTTCCGTCATCCTGTTGCCGATTACTCATTACTAGGCAATTGATATCAATATTCATATTATACGGCAATTGAGGATGGTTGCCTAAATCATTCAGAGGACGGCCAGTGTAACAAAATAAAAATTACTCAGCATACGTGTCAAGATTTAGCTATAAATCTAGTTATTGTAAAGTATACTCAGGAGGTTCTACTGAAGTAATAATTCCGATCATCATACCATCATCTCAGTTGGGCGTTTTGCAGGCACGCAAGAACTGAGCCTCTCGGTGAACGCTCCAACAGCGCCAGCCTTGCGGCACCGCCGGGACAGCCAACACTCCGCAATCATCCACCATCAGTCTGCCGAGTACATATCAATTATACCAATAACTCCTTCTAAGTCCGGTAGAGGACCAACTACGGACTAACTGTACGGTATATCAGATCGTTAACGCCTATTTCTTTAGAACTTTCTAATAATTATTCGCTCGTGGTTTAATTGCCCAATAAAACGACAAATGAGCCTGACAGTCTAACTGACCCAACTATGAGACTCAGACACTGGGCAGAAAGAATCGTACCGTATATATGATACGGGAAAGAAAATGGCGAAAACAAGGGTCCCGTCAATGTCTACAACGCCAAACAGCCATTACACATGTCACTCAGGAGCGCATAAACCCTTTCAATTTACTCGTTTTTGTTACTCTTTTGGCAGTTCTTCACGCTCTTTGCTAACACACATTACAAAATTCATCTCATCCGGGCATTTGATAACCGAGTTCTCGATTTCGTTGAATGTCTGCTCACGCAGACTACGGTGGCGCTGGGCGCTGTTCAGAAGACACTCTGTTAGGCAATGGACAGCGTGCCCAGCCACTCGGGGGGCGACGACGTCGAGCACCGCACTATGACCTTCAAAGGCCTGTACGGAACTAGCATTGGCTGCCGGCAACGCGCAAGGATTATTATCTTCTCTCTCTTTCTCTTCTTCTCTCTCTCGTGCTCTCTCTCTCTTCTCTTCTCTCTCTCACTCTCTCTCTCTTTCTCTCTCTCTCTCTCTCTCTCTCTCTACTTCTCTCGCTCTCTCTTTCTCTCTCTGTCATTCTTTTTATCTCGTCACACTTGTTCGCGAGACGCAGAGTTTTTCCTTCGGAGCCTTTGAGGGCCGCTGTCAGTTCGATTTGTAAATTTATGATAAAAATATATTGTTTTAGACTCATAATATTCCTAACTACTCATAGGCCTGTAGTTATTCTGCCTCTGGTGGGATCTAACAGCTATATACTGTCATTCTGTAACCTATGACAGATCGAACGATTCGAAACAACCACGCCCAAGAGTAAGACGATGTCTACCGCTAGAGGCGCCACGAACCCACTAAGATGGGACAATCCTATACCCATCTATTGTCCTTAAAACCACACCCTCTCTCTCTCTACATGGTGTTATAACCGGTGCCTCTACCGGCATGAGCCAGGACCTGAATCGAACAGGCGCTCCCTGTCGGTGGCGTTTCACTTCTCTGTTGGTTATCTTGTTCTCAGCTTAAAATTACGGACGATAACGGAATCTAGAAACCGGGAGGGGGAACTGTTGTCAGAAACGTCACAAATGACGTCATGACTCGAAAATGTCATGATCTTTACAGTGAAGTGTCGTGCAAAAGTTAAATTAAATAATCTAACGTCATAGGAGTTACGATAGTCATAACTATGTATCATGTTTCTGACAACGGGCACAAGAGGGCGTTGCGGAAAGGCTGATTGTCCCTAAATCCCATCGGGAACGTTTGTGGTATCTTTGAGGGTAGTTCTGACAACGCTCCCTCCCAAATATGGCGCAGTGAACGAAGCGCCGTCGTGAGCACGCTATAGTCATCTATCACTATAGGTTTTGTGCGACAATAACTCAGTTACGGCGTTGATAATGGCGGCATGTCTCTCATAATTCTTGAAGCTCTAATAAGTTGCTTATGATCTCATGAGAATCGATGTACGAGGTGGGACGCTCACAAATAACACACATAATGCACGTGATGGTAAATATAAACGAAGCCTTCAACAATGGCGGCAGTCCGGGAGAAATTAAACTCGGCACTGTCGTTTTCGACATGACATATTTCTTCGGCGCGTGCGAGTAAACTATTCATCGAATATAGTGATTGATCGATAATAGAGCTTTGTTCGTTTGAAGGGCAAACGATTGGATCTTCGGGGACAAACAAGGCCTGCTGACGTCACGATCAACGTATCCAGGCGCGGGAAAGTACGCCGGCACGTTGCTAGCCGACAACCACTCAAACTGGCCCGACATGCAACGCTCCATTCCGGCTATGCTCGAGTTTGGACTGTTTGGAATTCCTTACGTACGTGACACACGTGATGAAGAGGTTTAATAGATTCACTCCACCTGCTATATACCGCTATATATGTACCGGGCTATCCTTAGTCTGGTGAAAGTAGTGCCGACTGCAACTAGCAACTAGCATGATGTCACAGCGAAGCGAATCGATGACAGGTGGGACACACACAGACGCGCGCTCACACACACGCATACACACACGCATACACGTGCTATATCGTTTACACCTATGCGCACGCAGACGCGCGCACACGCGAGCGCACACAAATACACACACAGGCATATGCACACACGCGCATACGCTAGTATACGTGCAGTCAGGCGTAGGCGTGGGTGCGGATATTCACGTAACAAACTCGTAGAACTGCAAATTCCTTAAACAAATTATTTCCCCTTATGCTCCAGGTTGGTGCTAGCATCTGCGGTTTCCATGGAAACGCGGGAGAGGAGTTGTGCCAGCGATGGATGCAATTGGGAGCGTTCTATCCGCTCTGCTGGAATCACAACGCTCAGGACCAAACGGTACGTAGTGCAGCCAACATCGTACATCGTTACACACGCACGCACGATTGTTTGGTTTTGCAGAAAGCAGCGCGCGAAGACGGTCGCGGTAATCCCGATTTCGGGAACAGATTCGGACGCGTCGCACTGGTGGCTCCACGAATGCTCTGCTCTCTACACGGCAAAGACTCGGCTACGATGCCCTCGTTACTGGTAGGTGCTAAACTCGAGTCTTCTACGTGGTGGTAACACTACCGTATATACTATAGATATATATATATATATATAATATATTATATATATATAATATATATATATATATATGATCATATATAGCAACTGAGAGCAGTGAGGGGACGGAGCCAGACAGGAGGGGGGGGGGGCGAGAGAAAGACTCATTAATTCGTACAATTAGCGATTCACGCAAGGTTGGTGTTTGTGATTAAATCGTTAATAACTTGACGTTTTCTATTCCACACAACACAAATTGTCAGATTCAGTGACCAGTTCCTATTACGCTCACGTTACAAACAGGGCGCGCCCGCTGTGAGATGACCGCATCACGGCCGTACTATTTCTGAGGAGTAAATGTGGCCCAACAACGCACACACGTGCCGCTCCGCGTGCAGGACACATGCAGAAGGAGAGAAAATCCTGCCGCATTGCATCGCGCCCACACATACGTCTATAGTCCTAAGCGTCTCGCCGCGATTACTGACTACCGCTTAGCAAAAACGCACGTAAGAGCGGAGAGAGAGAGAGGGGCGCGAGATGAGAAAGAGAAGTCGAGCAACGCTGTGTGCGAGCGAGGAGCAGAGAGAGAGAGACGTGAGAGACGACGAGAGGGGGGTTGATATGCGAGTTATAGGTGCGTAAGGGTTCTGGTTATGGCTGTTTACTTGTGTACTGTTATTTTCCCTAACGCGCTATAACGTACTTAACGCACCTTCTTCGAACCCATCAGTGGCTGTAAACCTGCACGGCACCTTGCCGAGATTACCATTAGAAGGTCAACATAACCCAACCGCGCCTGGGAGGGCTTATCTCAGCCGTATAGCTGAGAGTCGCGCTCTTGTTTGAGTAATCAATTAGATCACTGACATTAATACGCCTGACTCAGAAAGGCTGAGCACTGAACATATTGTTCAGACATCACACACTGGACAGCAAATTGTTCACACTGTGCTAGGACGTTTGAAGTAGTTGTAGATCTAAATTAATCTTGATTCTCGGAATTTCATATGTGCTCATATCAGGTCGTGGAGGACATTGTCATTTTCTCTAGATATCCGCACGCATGGTGCTTGCAAAAAGTACTTCATATGAAGGAAAGACGCCACAGGTTAAAGAGCAAACAGGTAAGAGGAAAAAGAAAACAAGGTGACGCAGAGAGAGTGGAGAAGAAAAATAAAATAATAAGAGAGAGCACAGAGAAGAAAAGAGAAGGAGTCATTGTGGCCACGAAGGCAAACGAGAGATGCAGCACATACAGTGAATGAGCATTGTTGATGTGCGATGATAGCGATTTATGAGCCCCAAAAACTCGCTAGCGACGTAACGAACACTTGAAATAGTCGCAATTATATCAACGGAGGAACGAGAGAAAGATAGAGAAAGAGAGAGCGCACACGAATAAACCCATATTGAAGCTGATCCAAAAAATCGTATATTAGCAATCGTTGCTGTTCTAGACTGACTCGCAGACACGCAGTGTAGCACGCGGTGAACTGAGCACACAGATTTGAACGTTTATTATCTGCGACGACTTCATGGGGGAGTCAGTTCTTTTCGTTCGCCCTCATGGAAATGTCATAGGACACAGCCTAACTAGTCCGTAACTTCTACGGTTTCGCCGCATGTTAGCACGTCTTTCTAAGCGCCCTCGCGCGTACCGAATACGTAACATGAACAGCTGGCGCCCCGTCGGCGAAGAGAGCGGGAGTGAGCAGAGAGAGACGACGAGGAAGAGAGCGGAGAGAGACGAAGAGAGATGAGCAGAGAGAGCGAGAGCAGCGAGAAAAGAAAGAGAGACGACGCGCACACGGGCAGAAACGAGAGAGAGGATAAAGAGCGGGAGTGGTGAGAGAGAGCAGAGAGAGAGAGAGGGGTGAGAGAGCAGAGAGAGACGAGACGAGAGAGGAGAGATGAGAGCGAGACGAGACAGATGCAGCACAATGGGCGAAGAGCGCATTACCGAAACGTCATGACATTAAGTTTACATTTGGCCGTTTACACGCGTCACATCAACGCGGCTCATAAGTACCATAGATAATGGCCCAACATCCACGCGAAGGATTCAGAGCGTAAATGCCATTGCAGTAAATCTACAACACATCGACCGACCGTGCTGCCCTTTTATTGTTAGCACTCAATTAACTACCGCTCGCGCGAGTGACAGGCACAGCTCGGCTATTTCATCTTCCCCTGCCGAGCGTGGCATCATTGCTTCGTTTGGCGGTGCGTGCGTGCGTTGCGTTGATTCACCCGCGAGAGCTAATTCTGCCTCAGCAGCCAGCAAACAACAACAAGCAGATCGAAGCGTCTACTCACGGTCCGGCGGCGACAGGACGCTGCCTCATTATTGTACGGAGCGCCATTTTTTCTTTCTCTCCCTCCTCTCATTCTTTCTCTCTCTGCTCTCTCTCCTCTCATCTCTCTCTCTCTCTCTCATCTATATATATAATAGTACTTATATATAACTA